AATAGGCTTACTTAACTTTAAGAGCAGTTCTCTCCTGGAAGAAGTTATACTATTGTAATAGTGATTGAAGCCTCCAGATATTCTTTGTAGTCAACTTGAAAAGTCTAAACAAAGCTTCTATGTAAGTAATACTAACAGCATTCGGAGTTAGAACATTATGGCAGCAAGCAAATTCAAGTTAAAATGCATGGAAGTGTTATCAAACTTCCCAAAACACTCAGTTTGTCTATTTTATTACTGGCACTTACATTTACATTAAAAGGTTCAGCTCCATTTTTGTGTTTTGAATTATGATGAAAGGTATTTTGTTCTGAACACATTTAAGTATTAAAGTGGTTTCCTTTGTACATATTTTTCCCCTAACACTGGACTGTCTTTCGTTCCATTAAATTTCCAAACTAGAAAAACTGCGTAAGAACTCCACGTTTGAACATGTGTTGATGCCATGAAGAATTTTGGTAAACATAAAACAGGGTCCCACATTTTGTTTTCCAATGCTTTTTTTATGTAAGTTACCTTGTCAAGGGCACTCATAAAGTGTTGATCACCATTCAAAACGGTGTTGATGAGCTGAACAAATTTACTATGTACTTCCAAAACTGATTCCACAAACTGAGTTGGCATCTAAAAAAGGTAGAGAAAACAGAAAGCTAGTTAATAAGTATTATCTACAAATATATCTATTAGTTGTACATTTTTCCTAATTATTATTTTTGATAAAAGTAGAATCATAGTGACTAAGTGTTTAAGAGGATTGAGTCTGCATTTTACTCTTACACTATGTGATTGAGCATGTTTTGGAAATAAAGAGTCTATGGTTGTATTTATAGACATCTGAGTCTATACTGTTCTCATGCTGCCTCATCTTTGCCATCATACCCCAAAATCCTTTTATTAGCACTTTCAGAAATCATTAACGCTAACATGTAACTAATGATTCTGTGAAATACAGCAATCAAGCCAAAAAGCTTCTGAAATAAGTAAGCCGCTGCTTCTCCTACACACTAACTTCAGAGACAGAAAATCTGGATGAACCCTTTGAATTCTCTTATGTAGGATAGTTACTGATCAAATTTAGTGTGACACATTTCAGCATAACCTTTTGTATAAAAATGACCAATATGACTTAGAGAAGCGCCTATGCAGACAAGCTGGCAGGCAGCAATCCAACAGGGTGCAATGCACTGGCTGTATCACATGACTGCCCAAATGCATTCTCAGGTCACACCTGAAAAATGTTTTGATGACAAAGTACTTAATCCACACAGTGCAGCAAGTATTTCACATTTTGAATTTATCTACATAAGGCTATGAATCTGCATCACCCTTATGGCTCTGCATTCACTTCCCTATGTAGACGCTTTTAGTTTGAAAGAATAAACTCAATAAACTTACAAATAATTTGAAAGCAAAATATACTACTGAAGACTTCAGCCCATTTTAAGTATGCCCACAGGAGTCACAGAAGAGTAAGAACTCCTGTGCACTCAATAAAAAGTGAATTTACGACAGTTTGTATCTACTTATTATTATAGACAGAAACACTGGGTGGCTAAAGCCAGCATCTGAAAGCGAGCACAGATGCAGACAGCAAGATGTACATATGTACAAACATAATGCCAGATGAAAGCTTGTTTGTTTCTGAACAGCAATGCTGGAGGAACAAAAATGGAATAGAGTAATTTAAATACATATGAACTGAAAAAAAGTGTAAAACTTCAGTAAAATAATTAAGCTACAGTATTTTCAGAAATTACATGAAAATATGAGATGAAAAATCTATTAGTGAAAAACACCACATGGAAATGAGGAAATGATGTCAAGTCTTTACAAATAACATGTAGTTAAACTAAAGGGAATCACTGGTTCCTAACATACCAGAACAGCAAATGCCACTGACTTGGAGAAATTCAGGAAAAAAAAAAAATACATACACAGAACAAAAGGACCTACTTGCCATGACAGCATCAAACAAACAACAAGAGCTCTCTAGCTGTAGTTGTTTCTGGTTAGATCACACCAGGCAACTTCCAGGATAGGTACGTGTCACACAGCTAAGCGTGCTGATTAGAAGTTACAATTTATCCATCATGTTCCAAACCAATTTCATACAGACAAAATTTAAAAAAAAAAAAAAAAGAAAAAAGAAAAAAACAAACAAAACCAGAATAGACTAAAAGGAAAAGGGTAAACATTTCATCAGGAATGTTAATCAAACAGATAATTTCAGCTGCCTGAGGAAACTCACATTTTCCTGAGAAAGATTGCTGGTTGCTCTAAGGCCCTCATCATGGATATGGTTTTGTAGTTCCTGAATCATATGAGGTAAACCACTTGACACAGCACGAAGTAGAGTATACATATTTGCCATGTCTGTAACAGAGATACATTTTTATAGAATATGCTTAGAAACACTAAAAATCAACACTTAATATAGTACCATCATTTCACACAGAACTTTCCAAAGACTGAAACAAGATCAACTGTTCCGGAAAAAAAAAAAAAAATTAAAATAAAAAAAATAACATACACTGGATCACTGATAAAAGCAAAAAGGGAAATCGTAGCGCTAGTATCAGTATTTACTGAGTACTGCCATTGTGACAACCTCACTCTTCCAATTCTGCTTATTTAGGAGCAGTGGGCTAGTATGGAAAGGTAGTGTGGGCTAGTATGGAAAAGTATTGTGCCAGCTTATTCTAATCCTTGGCTTCCCTAAATCTCCCTTAGCAGCAGCTGACTATAATTAATTTCGGTAACTTCTTGACATTTTGTTTTCCTCCAATGGTGTGGCTTTAAATTTTTCTCGGTGTGGCTTGAAATTTTTCTCAGGTTAGAAAAGCTGTAAATAAGCAACTGCTTTTTTTATAATTTTTAAGGATCCAAGCTCTGATCAAATTTGCCAAACTCTCTGGGAACTGAATACTATTACTGGAAACAATTTGAGTTTGACTGTGAAAAATAATGTTTAACATAATGGATACCATCTTCCATGCAAGAATAAGCATTCTTTCAAGGATAAAAGACATGTAGTCATCAAGAAGCAAATTTCTTTTTAGTCAGGCAGAGAATGTAACCGTAAGAGCAACTCCTTTTGTAAAAAGGATCTGGGAAGAAAGGTCACAAAAGATTTAGGACAATAAAAAGTGGCTATGAAAAGAAGCCAAAATACTTTCTAATCCTGACTGATTACGAGGATGAAGAATCTGTAAAGACAGAGCCATTGGTTTACAGATGAAGACACAAGCATAAAATATGATCAATTCTACAGGACACAGGACTTTAATGTGTTTTTAAGTCAACTAAGACAAGGAAAGAGAAAGAGTATTGGCCAAAAGAAGGGTTGTTAACAACAAAAAGAAGGTTTTGACTAGGTATTTGGAAGAATGAGAATGTATTACATGGTAAAAGAAAAATGTCATTCAGGCTTTAACTGGGGTTTCTACACAAGTAACAGTACTAGTTGAAAATGCTTAAGCACACCAAAGGTCACTGAATAAAGATAGCGAATAGCAATGCTAAAAGAAAACAAAAACCATTTCACACTTTTTGTGACACTTGAGACTTACCACTTCTTTTCTCTTGTCTGATAATATTGTGACATTCTGCATGTAGAAACTGCAAGTGATCAGCTACCATTCTCTGTTGGCATTCATGAATTACTTTGCCATATGAGCTGGGATGCAAGTATTTCCGACACCGCATTTCTTCATCTTTTAATCTACCTAAAACCTACAAACAAGTTTGTAAACTGAGAGCTGATGAAATACTAACAACTAATATAGAACCATGAATATACAGCAATATATGTACATAGAATGATCACACAAATAGATAATGCATTTTAAAAAAGAACTTGTCCAGGATGCTGAAAAATTAAATTTGCTCTTTTGAATCAGGCTGTCTAACAGCACTCAGTAGTTCTCAAAACTTTTTTCCTTCAACTTTGTCCTTCCCAGTTTCTCCTACCACACTTCCTATTCCTCTTGAGAAAGTTTTAACACAACACCTAATTATATGATTGTAAGAGTCACTTCAGTGTTCCAAACTCATGTGCTTGTATGTAAACATCTACTCAAAAGGTATAGGAGTCCAACTGAGCTATTAATGAAAGCTTTCTTTATAACTTCAATGAAAGAAATAGGCATTATCATAAAACAAGTCATATGAGTATCAACATAAAAGTACTTATATCTAGTGAAGGTGAGGGAAGCCTAGGGAGAGAAGGGCAGCTGCAGGGTGCTAATGACAGATAAACTGAACCTGCATTTCTTTTGGTTTAGCTGAAGTCTTAGCCTGTTCCTGAATTTTACCTCAGGTGTGCAACCATTAGCTTATGTTCCTTGTGGTTGAAAGCAGTCTCACAGCCTTCTCAACTCTTCTTGTTACTGTGGACAGCACAGCACTGAGGACTGACTCCTAGTCTTGTATTAATCTTTGCTTTCATGAGCAAGGTATAAGAATTACAAGCAATTTAACCACAACCTGACTTTATACACCACAAAGTGAAACAAAAGAAAATCCACCTCAGAGTATGTAATTTTTAACAATGCTTCGTAACAACTCTATCATATAATCTTCTCTAACCACTATATTGCTAGAACTCGTGCTACCACAAACAGGAGGAAAAGAAGGAAGTGAGGAAGCAATAATCATCAACCTGATACATGCTTTGAGTTTGGCTTTTTTTTCTTACTTTTCATGAAATTGATTTATAATTTAGTCTGAAATACTTTAAAACTGACAGTCCATCCATAGGCAAGGTTTGCAGTTTATACTCAGGTTAACCATGCACTAAAAAGTATAGTTTAAACTGCATGAAAGCATACAACAAAGAACTATGGGAACTGTACAGGAAAACATGTATAATCAGTATGTTGATAACATCAGATTTTAGTTATTGCACGTGTAAAGAAGAATCTCTTACCTTCTCCATGTATTGTGAGCAATTTGACTCTTGCAATAAATTTGAAGCTTCTTGTTTATAATACTCCCCTGTTTCATTCAGAAAAGGACACTCAAAAATTTCCTGATAAAACTAAAAGGGAGATTTTTTTTTTTAAAGGACAAATAATGCATATACTAGATTAAAATTCAAAATCAAAAACATAAATCAGAAATGTGTATCTACCTTTAGGGGGAATTTTTTCTTATACTGTTCAACATGAACAAAGGAGTTAATAACCCCATGGATTACTTTCTGGTTTGGGTCTTCTCCACAGCGATCACTGAAATAGGCAAAGCAAACACTCATGAGAATGTGGGTATCTCGTGCAACTTATCTGATAGCCAAATGAAATAAAATTGGATGAAACCATTTTTCCAGTAAATTCCTCTGCTTATATTGGCAAAATTGAAGAAGATTAATCTTAAAAGAAAAAAAATGCACTCTTGTTTCTCTCCTATACATTTAAATTGTTGAGATAGCAATTCATAAACTGTTCAAAAGCATTTGCAGGTCATGAAATTTCCAAGTCTTTGCTCAGGACACAAGTATTCCAAATGACATACTCTAAGCAAGTACTTTAAAAGTTACATTAAGTTCTACCTTGTATTTGTAGCATTTATAAAATAGACTACCTTCACACTCCTGCCCCTGCCAAAAAAACCCCACAACCAACCAACCAATAATAATTTTTGCCAGCATCACAGCAAGCAGCATGCTAGTTTCTTTTCCGAATATCTACTATTCAACACATAGTTGTCAAGTGGAACAAATAATTTCCTTGAAGCATCATCACAATTGTTAATCATACATTTGAAAAGGAAAACCTTACATTTTTCAGTCAAGTTCTTAGCTTCAAATGAGCGCGTTCAAGTGAAGAAAACATTATCTTTAGTCTCATTCAGTTGAAAACAAAAGTAATCAAAACAAGTGTTTTGCATGCTAAAACCATTAGTGTTCATTCCTTTGCAAAGACAGGAAATAATGAACCCAGACTTAGAGCAGCAGCGACTTTCTTAAAACATGACCACCTTTCACATCCACTTTACAAAGAAGTAAAAATTATTCCTTAGCTTCTCAGGTGTTAAGTAATACTAAAATATGATTTACAAAGGTGTATTTACACTAAAGCATCAGCAGTTATAATTTCAAAGATTTTCCTTTTTAAAATACGTATGTACACATATATACATGTATATAGAATAAGAACTTTAATTTTACCCAAATTGTACTGAAAAGACAAAATGAGTTCTCTGTTAGAAACTTATGTTGATACAGGAAAGTCATTTATATGAATGATTTAAAGAAATTGAAAGGGAAAAAAAAGCAAAGCCAGCAAAAATGCTTCACACCCAAACATTACCATATACCCATCTAGGCTGGGGTGGAACGCAGGAGAAATACTTTTGCAAATTTTATTCATTTTGATTTGGAATTGATAAAACCTCTAGGGAATGCCCAAGAGCATGAGCTAGGGAGGTTTACTGGTACAGCCACACCAGCATATTACGTACACCAGAACATAGTCATGTGTTCACAACACTGTTAATGATGTGCACTGCTTTTAAATACTACTGTATATTTACGATGGGTGGAAAAACCTAGCACTCTAACAGCTCACAAGCAGTTACTGTACTGTTTATGCAGCTTGGTCACCTGCTACAAATGAGCTGACCTAATGGGTAACTGCTTTAGAGCGGATGGGTCTGATTTCCCCTAGGGGGACAGGAAGGTTTCCTGTGGTTCTAGTAGCTGAATATATGGAATAAATCTGAGTTTAGGTACATATAATCACACCCTGCACTCTTGCCAATGTCCCTCTGCTGGGTCTGGTTATACAATGGCAGAGGCAGCAGCATGCCACAGAAGGGAAGAACTGAAACACCAGAGTAGGGCCTGGACCCAGCTCCACCCTGGGAGGCCCAGGAGCACCGTCAGCTGCAGGATGCATGCAGCCTTTGAACACAGCAGGATGTCCTTGAGTGTGGAAAGCTAAGTAACCAAAAGTTCAGCATATTACAAACCAGGGCTCTGTCAAGAGACAGTCCAGTCCACCTGGGGCTGGGGTATATGTATATGGGGTTTTGGATGTAGAAAGATACTGGTGACACAAACACAAGCAGCATTACTGTAATAACAGATGAAGGCTCAGCTCCCCTCTGCCTGGTTCACAGGCCACTTCACAGATGCACGAGGAAAGGGGGCAGCAGAGGTCAGGCCCAGGGGACTCAAAGGTCAGTGTATCATTAGAAAAAACCTTTAAAAGTGAAGAAGGTAGATGCTCCATGGAAGAGCTGCATGGGGGAGACGGGCTTTCCAAGCAGAGATCTAATAGCATGAAGGCAATAAATGAAAAGAAACAGAGTATGGAACGAGCTTTGCCTGCTCTGGCAGCATCTTCAGGGTACCCCCCCGTCAAGTGGTACTCTGCTCCCAAGAATTTGTAATGCAAACGGCTAGTTTCAACAAAATTTGAAAGAAGTTTTGAGAGTAATTTTCATTACAGTTGTAGCAGTAAAAGTATCCACCAAACTAAAATGAGAGAAATAGCTGATCCTGCCAAGGTGGAAATCTATTAAATGTATATATTCTTTCTTGGCAGTAGTGAGCAAGCAATTTGGATGCATACAGCTACAGAGCTGCTGCATGCAATTTGAGGCAGGGATGTCACAGGACATCTTGAGAGGGTAGAAGGGAGGGATGATGTTTGGTGTGGAATCTGGACAAAAAGATAAAACACTAGAAATGCAAGTTCCACTAAGCTGAATGATGATGATGAGCTTTTCTTCAAAAGAAATGAAGAAAGCTACAAAACACAAAGTCAAGGAAGTTGTGTTGGTTTATATTAACTTCACCCTGTTCCTATCTTTAGAATAAAGCTAGCTGTTGAAGTTTAACATGTATTGCAGCGTACTGCTATAGCCCCCGTAGAACCTATTTAAAGGTACAATAATAAATACTGTACTCACTAAAAGAATGTTCCACCAGTGAAAAGAGCTGCTCTGCTGTGTCAGACCAATGGCCTATTGAGACCAACTAACTACAGAATTTACTGTGAACTGAAAAGCCTGTTTCAAACGCTTTATAAAAAGCTAACTTTTAATACCTTTCCTTTCAAACAAATAGTGTAAATAATGTATCAGCTTAGACAGGAATAGGTTCAGTTGGTTAGGAAGTGTTAGTTTATCTTTAGTAGAGAAGCCTCTCCTGGTTAGTCTGTACTAAGCACTCATGTCATTTGAGATAGCACCTGAATAATTTCCAAATTATCTCTGTTTAAGAATTTCATAGATGAATTTTCTCACAATTCAAGATCTTGATGGCTTCCTGTTGTGTTGAAACAAAAATGCGTAAGTTGAGATTCAGCTTGCCTTGTAGGAGGAGTGCTTGGGCTAGAGGGAGGGGGAAGAAAGTGTGTTATATTCAGAACTCTGTATTAAGAGGAGTGCAGTCAGACAAGACAGGCTTAAACGATTTAACAGTTCTCTGTTGTTCAAAGGGGCTAATTCTGCTCCCTTTTTCTCAGTCAGAGCTCTCTCTAGCACAGCTTTAGCGCTCATCTAGTTCTCTGTTCAACTGACTCACCATGCCAATCTGTGAGACACAATAGCAAAGACAGTTTCCAGTCATATTAGCAGTTGAGCTGGTTCACTAAAGGACTAGATGAGCACCAAACTCAGCACAAGAAAGGCAGAAGACCACAGCCTGCTCCTTCTTGGCATCAGCAAACTCTTAGATCAGTTTAGCCATCCTGTTCAGCTGAACCAGAAGTCACTACTTATATTTACTTATTTTTATGTACCAAAAAAGTTTGGTTTATTTTATTGTAACGTATAGTGTACTGCACAAGTTTATAGCTTCTAAAAAGTCAATATGCTCAAGATTTGTCAGAAGTCGTCTTTTTAAAATTCTTATTAAATACATTGATAAATAAAACCTGAAAGCAAAATCTGTGGCTCTGGTCCCCCTACCTTTTCCAGTACAGTAATAAACATACTTTTATATGCAACCAGTTGACAACAATGTTGGTTATCAATTCGACGTATCATTACATACTATGAAAAATCTTCTGGTTATAAGGAGTTCAACAGTCCCATCTATTTAAGTTTGGTGGGGTTTTTTTAAACATTTTTACAAACTACACCGTGCACACATTTAAATACTACACTTCAGAAGGCATCTGATCGAGAAGTTTAAGTATATATATGTATTAGTAATTTTATTAAATTTAGGTAATATTCTTCGCATGCATATTCTTGAATCTCCACCAGATCTAACTTATCAATACCCATCTCTTCAAAGACCTTGTTTAATCCCTTAATTGCTGAACTCAATGCTAAAATATATTTAACAGTCATCTGCAGCAGTGCATTCAATATTGCCTCTTACAAACTGTACTGACCAGTAGAATCATAGCAAAGAACAGCAACAAGCCCATATGCCCATTACATGCAAAGGCCATCCTCAGAATACCCACAGCAAGCCCTACATTTCATGATACTAGGAAGAACAGCTACAGTAAGTTCTGTCTCATATAGTTCGTTACATGATATGCAGATTACAGTGGCTAGAACAAACTTAGTATGAACTGTTAGATGTGTATTTTGAGAAACAGAGTTGAATTAACTTCTTTGAGATCACACAGAAGAATCCTTAATAACCAAGGGGAGGAGATGGGGGGAATCCAGACTCACGTTTTATTTAAAACTTTCCAAATGGTTTAATAATAAATAAGGACAATTTCTTACAGTCTCAAGATCTAATGCTCCACAGAGCCAGTAACAGTCTTGATCTAAATACCCTTCTGAGATCTGCAGCCAGCCTCAAGGTAAATACATACCATTACTTTTAAGAGGCATCAGATGTCTGTTGAAAAAGGTTTTAATACAGATTTCTACTCCCACCCACCAATGAAATATACAGATCGACTAAAATGAGTCTCCAGTGTCACTATGCTTGATGTACCAAAGCAGCATTCTCTTCACTATGTATTAGAGAATCTTCATTTAGTAAAAATAAATTGTTATAGTAAACATATGGATAAAGCAGTATTAGCACTGGTTACAAAGCAAATATGAGTCAACAACTACAAGCAAATAAATACTTTCTGGCTTCAGAAATACCATCAGACAGAGATATCATGTCAGTTACTTCGTTGTCAAAAATTTGATTCAGGAAGGAAAAATAAAATTGTAGTAATAAAATCAGTTCTTGAATGTCTTATAAATACAGCTTTTTTTTCTGACCAAGTGCATGTCCAAGGAACCTCAGTCAGCCAAACTGCCTCACTCAATTTACCTACACTAATCTGGTCGCTTGAGTAAGGCATGCAATTACTTAAGACTCCAGCCATTAGGCAACTGCAGAGCTACCGTGAACAATAGTAAAAGTGTAGAAACTGATGGAACTTACAACTACACACAAGGTCTGTAGCATATTTCAAAATTTCTGTTTATTCATAAGTAAAAAGATCCTTTAGGAGTTAAATAGCCTAAAGTTTTAAATCAAACTTTAAAAAGTCCTAAGCCCTGTAACTACTAGGGTCTTTGCTTAAGCAGAAGTATTCAGAAATAAAATAGTAAATTTCCTTGAAGTGCAAAAAATTATTTTTATTTCATTCCAGTAAAGTACCAATAGTGTTAAGTAAAGTCACAACAGAAATATAGAAGCTTAACTCTTCCTGGCAGATAAGCAAAAATCATTTTGGGTCCCATGCAAAGCAACATAGCTTTTCTAGCTTTGGCAAATTTTTCTCTAAGTCCTGATCTTTAAGTTTACTGACAGCACAGAATCCATAAGCAGTCAGCATCAGGTGGAGAAAAAGGGAAAATGCATCCTATGGGACCTGAAGAATTATTCTAACTACTCCCCAATTCCATTGATTAGAAAGGCTGCTGAAACATTAAAGATCACTACCCTCAGATTACAGCAAATTAACTATTTTCAGTGTCCTTTTCCACACATGCAAACCACCAGATAAGTAGGTACAATGAAAAAAGCTGATAGAACATCATTATCAGGTAAGGAGCCATCTTTGAAAAACAAACAAACAAACAAAAACATAAAAGCATTTGTTCAAAGTCCCCAGGCTTTTCAAAGTAAAAAAGTGCAATAACCCCACATTGTGTAAAAGTGAAAAAACAGACAAGCACTCACTTTTTTATTTCTCGGAGGAGCATCCGGATAAGGATAGCCTGCAGTGGCTCAATCATTAATTTTCTCCACATATCAAGAGCTAGCTGTCAGGAGACAACATAAGTTTACATCAATAAAAAATGCCAATAAACCCCCCCAAAAAACTCCAAACCCAAACCAAAGACGACACAACTCCCATTCAGGATATCAAAAAATAAACTGTTAGATACCCTCTCCTTTCTCCTTTCTAAATTGTTTTGTTTGCCTCACACACGCAATTTGTCAATATATTACTTTAGCATTTTTCTTCTAGAACATCTGACTGCATTTGGATGAAGATCACACAGATCTGTACACTAGCAGCATCAGACAGAATTTCTAGTCAGGCAGTGTCTGAATGCATGCTTCCCAATCTTCACTATTCCTACGCATGTAATAGAACTGATTTACTTCTTCCTTGATTCCACTCTACCAAGGATTATCAAATGCACATAAGGACCATAAGCAAATTGATTAGGACAGGTTTGAGTGTGCATATAAACAAAACATCTGTGCAGTAATAAGTAAGTAACATGCCTTTCTACCTGAAGTGTTTGAATGTGTGCAGCCAACGCTATTTCTAAAAATGATAGCAAAATACACCTCAGCTGCCAAAAGGGAATGTCTCTTAGCCAATTTGTTAGAGGTCAGAGTAAAAGACACAGAAACCTTATATTCAACACACAGAGAGCATCTCCAAGCTAAGATGCATACAGCTTAGGCAAAGTGCTGCAAGGCTAACATTTGACTTAAATGGAATTCAAATCACTTTCATATTAGGGATAGGTCACCCTATCAATCAAATCGACCGAAATATCTCAAACTTTTGTGGTTGAAGTAACTGCTTCCAAAACATGCAATTTTTGAAAATACAACTGCAATCATTCAAAGGAGTTTTTACACTTAAGTTAAAATCAGATTTAAATCCCAAAGGAGATAATGTGATCTTTCATATGGGGGGAATACCCACACATGTCTGAGATCTATAAAAAACACCTACCAGTGAATAGTAGACTGGGAAAAATTGAAATTACCAAAATCAGTAATGACAGAGGGAATATTACTGCTAAGAAAGCTTTGACACAACTAACAGAACCTCAGCTGTAAAAATTAAAATATTGATCAGGTATGTCTTAAGTGAAAGTAGGCATCTCTCTATCAACTAGGTATCCAAACCAATCCACCTTGTGAAATGAATCTTTCTTTTAAAGAGCAGACAAATGAACTTGCTCTGTCTATCATAGCTATCCACCACCCACGCTGTAATACTGGGTAAAGAAGTCTGGGAGGTAAAGCAGACCCAACTGCAGCAGCAGGGTCAAAGAAGAGCTAAAAGTTTGTTTATAAATCAAAAGAGGAGTAATTTTCACTGTCTTGCCTTGTGGACAGTAGTAATAGAACAGTTAGAGGACAACAGTTTCCATAAGACAGGAACTCATGCAGGCAATGCTGAAATAAAACAGTTCTGGAGAAAAAAACCCCAAAACCCAACAAACCACAAAACCAAACCAACACACCACCACACAAACAAACAGGACTGACAAGTCTTGTGACTATGAGGTAAAGGGGACTGCCTCAGGTAACTCTATTTTGCAGTGTGGTCTCTTGAGAGGCAGTCTCTAACATCATGGTCCCTCTCAGTTACAAGAGGGATCAATCTGAAACAGCTTCAAGCTGCCAACTGGAATTCTCTTGTCAAATAAACTACAGACAGGTCAATCCAGCCACTTGATGTACTAGCTTAACAGACTTTTTCTCCTTGAAGAGAGGGACTGATCTTACTTCTCAGCCTCGATTGACAATATAGAACATGGCAGTTTGTTCCATTTTCCAGAATCTGGTTTAGGGAGTTGGAGGGGGTGGGGAAACAGAAGGCACATCTTAACTACCTTCTAGCTCAGGGCTCTTGGAGTCATTGAAAACTCGTAAATCCAAGTCCAAAATGGGTGATAAGAGCCCAACTCAGAAAAGCAGTATCCTTCACCATGCATTCATTACAGAGACAGAAAAAAATTTAATCTCTTGCAAGCACTGACACACTACTTTCATCAACTGATCTCATCCTATATTTTTCCCAGTACAACAATTACTGAGTGTCTGGAATGCTTATCAGAATGATAAACTGTTTGAAGCCATGCCCATACACATCACATACACAACTCAGGTGTCTTGTATGTACCTACTGTTACACACCCCAGAAAAACTAAGCAAGCATGTACATGTTTAAGATTACTGAAAAGCTCACAAAGTTTTATTAACACACAGGAATGATGCTGGGACAGAAACTTCAGTACACAGAGAACAGTTCTGCTTCTATAAACACTGGGCATTATTTCTTGTCGAAATAACTTCATGCTGAGACCAAAGAGAATTATATATATATAACCCTAATGTTTGCTCTTGAGTAGATAAAGGACAAATCATCTCAGTCACCTAAAGAGGGATAAATGATAATTCCTTCCATTATTTCAACTGTTCATTGCTTTATAAAGACCTTTATCAAAGCCCCTAGTGCAATCCAAAGAACAAAACATAGAAATCTAAACAGAAACCATAATGAAAGAGAAAATGCCTTCAAATCAAAGAGTTGATAAACTTGGTGAGTGCCATGCAGGTTAAGAAATGTGAACTACTTTTATTTCTGGGGCAATGAATTCACCAAAACCAGTGCTGCAATTCAATGCATTAAACTACTTGAGCATGAGGCTCAAGTCTCCATTCCTTTTCTGGACAAAGGAGTAACTGCCATAAACCTAACCCTACACCAGTAATGAAGAGAGATTATCTTTACTGCCTCAAGATCCAAAATTCACCTCCCACTACTACCAATTACAAAGACAGTATTTGTTAAAGACAAAGGGAGTCTTCATGAGTGAGATAATGAAAAACTCATTAGTAGAATTCTAGACATCATCATCTGAACATCTTCATCAAAACCCAAAGGCTGCCAGCTACAGTTTGAGAATCTTGACCCTCCCCATAACCTGCCCAAGTGATGAGCTCGGGATGTACCACCCTAGAAATGACTGCTGGGAAGCTTGAAGAAAAGTGTGAGTCATTGTCCTTCTTTAAGATTCCAACAACATGAGGAAAACAAAATACTCAAAAAAAGTTGAATTATTTTGTTGTTCTTTGGTAAACATTGTAGGGCAGAAAAATATGGACAAAAGCTGCCACTACCATCCTTGAGGTGATACCTCACAATGGAGTAGCACATTGAAACAGGGGAAGAATTCATTAATAAATACACCAGCATCACACAGCACCAAGCACAAGACTAGACCTATTCCCAGCCCCCAAAGCAGCTGAACTAACAGTGATTCACGCAGAGCTAAGGACTACCTTTGACAATTGCAGAAACGAACTTGGCTAAAACTCAGTCTGAGGAAATAAGGAATAACATTTATGCCATTTTGAGATACCACGAACAGTGCAGCAATATGTACTTTCAAGCTCTGATAAGCCTTTACAGACGCCACTGATTAGCAAGCCTTGGAGAGAACACAGGTAGCTGAGAGAAGAATTTTCATTCCTGAACTGCCTTGACTTAAAGTACATCATGTTTCTGGTGGTTTTTTTTCAGTCCACCCCTCAGCCTGTCAGCCTTTTTGAGTCTAGTTTTTCTTTCAAAATCTCTACCCCAGTTGCTAGAACAGAAGTACAAAACAGCTTGCCTTGGAAAATAAGATGTACAGAAGACTAATCTCAAAAAAAGCTATTACATTTTGTGACATCAAGAAATAGAAGCCTAAAAGTAAGTATTTCAAGGGTTTCCAAAAACAAAAGCAGTGCTTCTTCAAAATATTTTCTAGATTGTAGCATCCTTAATAAACCAAAGTTTTTCTGCAAAGTGACATCTATTATCACATTTAAACTGAAGCTCTCCAGTAGTTTTCATATCTGCCCCCACCATTATATTTTTCTACATCATAACTGTAATCTCATTTTACAAAGGGTTCAGTGCTTGTATCTTCTACTGTATTAACTATTCAGATTCTGTGACCCAGAAAAGTCAAATATAAAAGGACACAGCTGGACATATAGCACTTCTGAATACAGTTTATATCCACTCCCACTTTCAGAGATACTTACTTCTCCTATTTCCATCAATGGTTCATTCATATCCACCCCTCCATAACCATACTGAAGATCAGCTTCAGTCAATTTATTCTTCTTAATAAACTGTGTGTTGAGGTACCTATAGAAATAAAGATATTCAAATCAAAACAGGCAAAAATTAAGCTTCTGGGGTTTTCTTTTTTTCAATAAATTTGGAATCATGGAATGTGTTCCACATCACAAAAGATAACCTCTTTTAACCAATGCCATTGCTGTATGTAGGAAATTCTTAAAATACAAATTGCTTCAATTTCAAAGACCTTATATCATGTTGAAATAGTTCAACGTTATTAACTGAGATACCCACAGCAGCATGAAAGATCACTGTTAGCACTTTCTTGGTGTGCAGTACATTTGTGTAAGAATTCAACTTTTCAACATACACTACCACATTACTCATACACATATATGCAAAGTAACTGCTAAATTCTGAACAGTTGACTAGTAGTAGAGTGATAATAGTTTGTTTAATTTTAATGATAGAAAATATTCTCAAGCATCAGCTATTTTTAGGTAAACATGTATTTACTTTACCTGTAATGTTTATTATTTTGCATGTCTCTGAGACTAAGACACAAAGATACTGTCAATTTTTACAGGGCCAATATTTGTCAGTTAGGATCCCTTACTCAGGTCAGAATAACTAGCAAACCGCTGTATGACAAATTTTAAAGAGAAGAATCTGGAGAAATTATTTTAATCAACAGTTTTATAGAAAAGAATGCTATAAATGCTTTAATTTCGTATTTGCATGTATAGTTGTTATAAAGAACAGAAAACAGTTTCTGCGCAAGACTTGATAAAACATCCCTCTTAATTCTCAGTATTCCCTTAGAAAAAATACAATGGTTCAGTTTAAAAATGAACGGAGACCAACAAAGGAAGACTTGTGCAGTAGTGACAAGCTGGAATACAGCTGACTAGCCTACTTTCAGATCCCAAACTCTTACAGAGTACTTTAAACTACTCTGCTACCATCAATAACCACCATAAACTGTAGATGCGAGTCTGCGCAGAAGACTATAGGCCCGCCATTTCATATACAACTTGCGTAGACATCCAAATAGCTGGAACACAAGCCTTAGGCATGCTCCTTAATGATACTTCTCATCTCCCCCCACACCACCAGTGAACAAAGGCAGCAGCCACCATTCTGCTTTTTCCTGTTAAGCTTTCTAAAAAGAAACGCCTTATGCTCTCCTCATTCACACCCTCTCTCTTCCATCAGTACATGTCTTCTCAGCAAATCCAGATTGGGATTAATCTTAAAACTAACATAGCCACAAGTAAATAAACAAATCTAAGCTAGATCAGGTAGCTCAAGCAAAAAGGGGGTGGTAAGAAGCAGGCAGGCAGAAAGACTCCTGGCAAAAGCTTCACCACATTCTGCCTCAAAGACAAATTTGCCCACATGTCCTCTCTCCTTCCCCTACTTTTACTATCAACTTTTAGAACTAAGTACAAGCAAATAACTGCAAAGCATGTGCAAACAGTATAATCTCAAATCACATTCTCCACTGAAGTCATAAACCATTTTTCACCTTGAATAACTCCTTCAAATACTTTATCTGTATTTCTTACTTTTAGAAGACAACCCATAAGGTTCAGCTGTAACTTACTCTGAAGACAAGAGCTGGTCCGGAATTGCTAATACCAGAAATTGCCCACCAACTCTTGGCTACTATTACGATAAAATGAAATGTCTGATCACATACCTCTGGCCCAATTACTTGAAAGCACACCTGTGTGAGCTTATGCTTTACTATCTGATGAGGAAAATGGCAACAAGATAAGAAAATTGAGGTTTGTTTCATTTCATGGTATTAGCAAAGCAATATACCTTTCAGTACCCACACCTCAAAACACACCCACCAAACTTCCACTCCAGAAAGAAGTTAAAAAGTTTGGAATTTAGAAGACTGTTACAATACTCACTCAAAATAAACACCTACTTTACAGCAGAATACTGAAAGGCAGTGTTCCATCTAAACTAGCCGTATCAGGAAAATGTCTGGCAGATAAATATTTTTGTGGGCAATTTGTTTCAAGGATAAGGGACTTGATAATGCAGCAAAACAAAAGGGTAAGTCCTTTTACAAGGTATTTAGCAAAGAAAAAAACTGAAAAAAAAAAAGTTAAGAACTAGAAGGTTAGCTAATTATTTGGGACAGGTTACTTGGTAACTTTCAAGTAATTGGTACTTTTAGATCAACCAAGAACAAGACTTGAACCACAGGTTACTCTTCTAGACGCAGTGACCACATTCCCAAACCAACACTACACATCTCAATAGCCCACGGTGTCCTTGAGGGGTCGGATTTCAAAAGCCTTGTCAGATGGACTAGACTTTTTTTCTTGTAATGTTTTATTTGTTTTTAGTAGTTTGAGTTACATACTCCTGGATAAGAAACAAATATTACTGTTGGCAAAATAGACATTGTGAAATTTAGATTGAATGTAATAAACCCGAGAGCATATCTATCTCAAGTCAGCTCCTGGTTATTTTCTTAAATGCCCCATGATAAAGCCAAAAGAATTTACCTCCTTCAAGTCTTTGTCTATCCAATATGACACCACAAAACAACATGCGTTTATCTGTATGTCTAGAAGTACCATATTTCTTTAACTAAAAAGGGTCGACATCCTCTATTCAGATTTTTTTCCTCCTCTGAAAGCTCTCCAAAGATAAACTTCTGCATAACCACCCTTTTTGGTCTCTCACTACTGCCTTCTGCACTCATAGTCAGACTGCTATACTGATCCCCAAAATGGCACGTGGGTCCATCAGAAATGTACACAGGAATAAACCTGAAGTGCTAAGGAAATTGCTTTCCAAAAATTGCACCAAGAGAATGCTGCTAACGATTTTGACACGCCACTGCAAGTGCTCATGAACAAAGAAATGGATAGACCTTATGTGGCAATAAAGTGGATGATAATCCACTTTACTGATGTATAGGAGGCAATTAAAAAAAAAAAAGTAACTAATTAGCTAGGACTATTAGAGTTAGTTTTCAGAAGCATTCAGTTTGGTTTTTAAGATTTTCTTCAACCTAGCACTCGCACAGTTAAACTGCTTTGCAAGCTACAAAAAGCACATGCAACCATATGAAGAGATAAACGGGTACATTACGGCGCAAAGCATGAGACATTCAGAAGATGAAGATAAGCTCCTCAGAGGAGCACGGAGAAAATACAAGAAACAATGGACACAAGCTGCAGCATGACAAATTCCAAACAGACATTTAGGGAAATTTCTTAGACTGAGTAATCAAGCATTAAAACAGGCTGCTCACAAAAGCAGCAACATTTCTGTTCTCGGAGGAGTTCAGAATTTGACTCAAAAAAACCTTAAGCAACCTGGTTTAACTTTTGAAACTAGCCCTACTCTGAGCACAAGGTTGAAATGGATGACCTTCAGAGGTTCATTCACACCTACTTTTGCTAATGTTTCAATGGTAACATGCAATGGTGACCTCACAAGAGCTGTATTAAAAGCACCAAAACCACTGTGCTTTATATAAGCAGAATGCTTTAACGTGTCTAGTAGCATGCACATACAAGTGCTCGGCACCGGAAGTTTTCATAATTCAGTATCTGTTCTGATTCACTTTTAAAACACAGATTACTCACTGGTTTACAGATCTGTAAAACAGGGTTAAAGTAATTTACCACAATTTGAAGATCAGCTAATAAATGAAAGACATTTCATTACGAAGTACTGAAGATACCACAACCTTATTAACTCAATAGCTGTATCAAAATTATGAGACCAATAATAAATAGCTGATATGGAAGTAAATCTCCCACAGCTACCAAATGCTGTAGCCTAAAATGAAGACAGTTCCATCTGTGGAAGAAGTTTCAGTAGAAAATATCGTTAATGTTGGATCTCAAATGTTGATGGCACTTCTTGTTTAAATCTTCACCACATTTATTGTTACATAATTAGTACACAAGATTAAGACCCGCAGCTTCTTAACACAATAAAAAGGGGAGTGGAGAAGAGGACTGGAACTATTATCAGTCTGAACTGTGTTACTGCTTACTGTTCATATTATTAGAATCAAAATACAATTTACTCTTATTATGACAAAACTGGCTGAAGTTTAATCCTGAAAGAGAAGGAAGATGTCTCACATAAAAAGTACAAAAATAAAGGGAAGTAAAATTAGCCAAAAGGACTAAAAATGACTATACATTAATATGCTAGTATTATTACAAGTGTTTTGGGAAAAAAAACCCACAAAATAGAACAAAGGGAAAGCTGCGCTATGTGTTTACTTTTCCGGATTTTATTATGAGAAGATTTTAAAACTTCAACTGTTAAAAAAAAAACAAAACCAAAAACAACTCTCCAGGTTATTTGAAATAAAGGTACACAAATCAGATGTTTTCAAGCACAATTACCCATTAAAACAGTTACAGCACCAAGACAATGATAAGCCCCCATGTCCTGCACTGTTTTTATCCATCGCGTTTATTATCAGAACTAATAAAAACAACTAAAGAAGTTTTTTTAATATGAAGTATTCTTTAGTCCATCAGTTTTATCACCTTAGTTTAGTCAAACACGTATAGGATTTGAGTTTTCAGAATGAATCCAAATTTGTTTTCCTAGTAAAATGCAAGCAGGGGGTGGGTAAAAAAAGCCCAAACCAAAATCAACACCAAAGAAACAAAACATTGACTCTATTGCCAGTCACTGCTGGTCTTGAATTTTATAGATTTTGCTCAAAAGGAAAGTGTGTCACATTCTAGTAGCATTCTGGTTGCAAATGTTACCTATCAAGGTAGAAGCACAGCTGTGAGTCTATTTAAATTTTAAAGGAGTCTATTTAAAAACAACATTAAGATTACTTGTTGTAAAAATTAATCAGTTTTCATTGCTGGAAGAATTATACAAATTAGATCCTGGGATGCAACAGTCAACTAATTTATGGTACTTTTTTGAGAGCAGGTGTGCAAGTAAGAACAGAACTCCAACTGCTTTATAAAAAAGTATTCCGAAGTACTTTCACCCAAAACATTCTCTCAGAAAACAAAAAAGTGATGTAACACCTAATGAAGTGTGTCCAGGGCATGAAAGTCATTATGACGCTCCTAATCAAGCACTGGATTATTTCTTACCTTCATGTGAGAGGGTCTTTTAGTTCCCATTACAACGTACATTTTATTACTGAAGAGAAAAAAAATCATACTTTCACAAAGTCATACCCTTTAGAAACTTTTAAATGATCGTGTATGACAAAATACAGAATTTCAACACAAAGAGAAAACATATAGTATTGAGGTAAAATTATTTCCAACAGAACACCTAACAAGTATGTTTTCTGAACCAAAACACCATATGCAGAGCAGGAAGAAGAGTTCGAATGGGCAGACCTGGCATGAAATAACTTCAGAGTTTAAGAGCTTGGCTTCACAGATATATGAATGTCACTCTGTTGAGCCTATATCTATGTACAGGTTGGTTCATGTGCGTAATAGCTGTCTGCAGGAAAAAAATGCCCTAGCTTGTTTAAAAATAAAACAAAAATTCAGGTTCACACTGCTGGAGAAATATTTTAATTTGCTGGTCTATGACTAGAAGCACTCAAGCACTCAGAAAAACTGTTGCAGAAAGCAGAATCAGCAAGGCTCATACAGACTAAATAGGATTCTTCTTTTGCCCCTATATGAACTTCCCAGTTAAGTCAGTGACATGCTATGGAACTAAAGTTTGCAAGCCCAGGATGGATTCCATCACATTTGTTCCCAGTCTGCTAGTGGTAATTTAATAGATTCTACAAGACCAAACATACATCTCCCTAACATAATAGTAAAGGTCTTTGAATCCTTCGTAAATCTTCACATCATGCCATCAAATAAGTACAGTATTAATAGTGCCTTGTAAGTTGTATTTACCTACTGAGTATCACATGCATAATGGGCACTAGAATGTTCAACCTACAGTCAGAGTGGAATTGAAATTTAAATCCTAGTAAATCCGAAGCCATCTCAATACAGTTATAATTCTAGCAGCTCCTGAATAGGTAAGTTTCATCTGCTTAAGCTATTACTAGTGGCAACAAAACACATCTGTGATGCAGGAAACAGTAGAAGTACAAAAATAACACGGGTTAGTTATGTTCTTATTTATAGACTTGGCTCTAATCTTCTAAAACAAAAAAAAAAAAACCAAAACCAAAAAATGAGTAAAACTGATTGTCTGTAAACAGTCTATTAGTTTCTGAACTTCTCAGAAAAGAAATAAGGAGCAAGTTTTATACCCTCTGCAATCCCTGTAGTTCAAACATTCACCTGAAAAGAAAGGACCAGAAGAGCACATAACCTTGTCTGAAAGGCTCATCTAGAAGGGAAATCTGTGTTTTTGCCAAGGTACATGGCTAAGCTTTGAAACAAACCATACTGGTTCAACTGGACACTTCAGTACAATGCCATCCTTGTAGAACACCTACAATTATGAGCTACTTCACTGCAGGTTGATTAGCACCAACATATTTGGCACTGCAACATCAGAAACAGAGGTAGAATATATTAGTAACAGAAGAACAGTAGGAATCATCTTACATAATTACGTCAGTGGCAAGGTGCAGTGCACAGAAAAGCCTGTTGAGGCATTATTCCTTTTTTCTTGTGTTCTGTCACCATAGAATCACAGAATGGTTTGGGCTGGAAAGGACCTTAAGATCATCTAGTTCCAACCCCCCTGCCATGAGCAGGGACACCACACACATAACTACATTCTGTCCAAAACTGACCCATATTCAGCTACTGCTCTCTAATCAACATTCTTCAACTTAAGCTGCGTATCACTGTAATAATTTGAAACGCTTAACAACTCATTTGAAAAGCTTACCTGTATAAACAGTCCATATAGTCTGCCCCTTTGCTATATTCCTCCCAATATCTGTGATACATAACCAGTACTTGTTCTTCAGCTTCCAGAACTCTCTGTGAAGGAAGGCACACACACACCCTAAAATTAGTACAAAAATAGCATACATACATAGACTTGTAACAGGATTATCATTTTAGAATAACAAACACGTATGCAAAATTAAAACCACACCTGAGCTTTAAGCAGTCTAAAAATAACGTTGTGGTAATGACCAGGAAACTAACAAATCTTCAGACTACAAATTTTGTAGTATGAAGTACCAACTACAGAAGTTTTGGTAAGCCAGCTACAACAGCTTTATTTCACGCTTAAAAAGAACAAACACCATAATGTCTTGTTTTCTATTGATCTTTACAGAAGTACTTGCTTGAATAAGCATGGTTCATACTCTCATGCAGGTGGGATAACTCAAATAACTATTCCCCCTCTGACGTAGATCAATTTTAAATTCAAGCTGCCACATGCACTCTGGAGGATTTGCCTACCTGTAACCACTTAAAATCAGCTTTACTGGTTAGACAAGCCCTTATACTTAACAAGAAGCCTGGAATAAAATAAGTTTAACAAAGTGCGGATATTTACAAACATAGATCATGTCTTAAGTTCTGTAAATCTAGGCCCAAATTCTTTGGAATGTAAGCAAATCATCATCTAAAAAGCTGCTGATGTACTGAACTTCTCAAATTCATACTTCAAAGGAATAAATTCAACAACTTAAACTAGTACGATTTGTGAAGGAGGATGAGATCCTAGGAATTCAACTAGAATTCTCTCTAGAGTATGCTCTGGCTCAAGCAGCAAAGAATCCTATGCAAAAAATAATGTAAAAGAGGAAATCTAGTAGACAACACAGATTCAAGAGTGCTTTCCTCTGCAGTAGGAATTTTGGAAAGGTTTTCCAAAATTATTTCAAAGACAAATGGTAGACAGTCAATTAAAAAAAAAAAACAAAAAAACGATGTATGGATGTATGCTTCTGCTACTTCCCACAGCTTCTACTGTGCTGACATCTGCCTAATTATTCTAAGTGAGCTCATTCAGCTCACTAAATAAATGAGGAAGAAGATTTTTTGGCGAAGCCATCATTTTAGTGAGCTGATTTAGTCCACCAAAGTCTCAGAGGTATCCTCTTTGCAACCAGTGGAACAAAACATCAAAATATCCAGCCTATCTTGTCAAATACAGAGGCAACTAAGCTCAAAAAACAGCATCAAGGCATTCAGCAGTACTATCCAGCATCTGCAATTCTTCATTCCCTATGCAGACACCAGAGACAGGTGGACATCTTGTTTAAATCTACTTCTCTTTCTACTGAAATACAAGGAGACACTGTTCATCCATATATTCCAGATAATGAATCATAATTTTGTTGAAATTGGCTGTCTTAGCTGATGAGAGAGAAATTAATTCACAGCTATACAGGTATATAAGTATTGTTACCTGTCATAATAAATAATTTGACATTACTTCCTCCCCTCCCAAACATTTTTGTCATTTTATTTCCCACATATTTCAGAAGTTTTCTTTGGTAGACTACATACAATTGGTATCTACTACAGTAGATACTTTTGCAGAAGTTTGTTACAGATTGTAGCAGAAGGCTAGTGACAAACTACAGCACATTTGGAAAATAAGGACATTTCTGTAACTTGTTTAATTATAAGCATTCGACGTAAAAGAAAGAACTTACTTTACAAGCCCATTAGTATTTTGTATAAACTATAATTACTGGTTTAAAAAGAAAGTTCTTTCATGTCGCACACAGACATTGTCTGCATCGTGTTGTGTGATGTGTGTTGATATATCAGATACACATATATTCCATCTCTGGAACTCTGTCACCTGTAATTTAATTGCATAAAATCTGCATACCTTCATACATACAAAACAAACAAAAGGCCTTACTCAAGTCAAAAGAGAACAAACAACACCTACATGTACCTCATTAAGCGTATACATTACCTTGTGCAAATGGCGTACATGATTTTCCAAAAAAATTTTAGTCTCAGTATAAAGCCTCTCTCCGAGAGGTTCAGGATAGGCCACACACAAAGCATAAATGTCTCTGGGCTCAGAGTCAAGGTTTGTATCTGCTTAAAGTGTGAAAAGTGATCAACAAAATTTAAGATTTACAGAACCTTTTTTTCCTCCCATATGCTCATTTTAGATTTTTTTAACATTTGAGCACAAACGATAAAATGAATCATTTCCTGAAATGAGTGTAAAGTCCTGATTTGTGAAGAATCCAAGTTACCAAGTTTTCAGCACCAGTAATAACTTTTAAGTAGTGGAAGGCAAAGGAATGTTAGAGCTAGAACCACGGAACTTCTGGCAGCCCCATGTTGACATGGCTTCTACCACTTATTTGCCATCTATGAATGAGATTATCTCAAAGTGAAAAAAACACTTTTCATCCAAAATTCTTCCTCTGAATCTGCAGCCAGTGTGAAACTGAGACTCTTTTTGGATAATGGAAAGAAGCACTAATTAGGTTGAGGGTGATTAGTCAGCTATGGAGCAGAACAAACCTGAAGTGAAATCAACTTCAGGTTTTCCTCCCCCAAGTCTAAAACAATTAACTGTTCCTGCATTTCCCCCCCAGCTCCACAGGCAAAACAATTTTGTGGGACACTGGAAATTAAGTAATCGCAATGCTGGTGTGGATGTAAAGCCTTTGTTTTATTTTTAACCATTATTACCATTTAGTAATCCTGTTTAGATCACAGCCATGAAAAACATTTGTACTTGCGCACTTAAATAGGAAGCAGCTTTAGCCTTTAAGGTGGTTTTGTCCCTGAAGATTCTTGCAGAGATACACCTTTGGTTTGTAAGGTCTATATTACATTTTAAAAAAGCTACTTGATACTTTGTCAGGAAAAGAATTTATGATTAAGAACTTTGCTTTCAGAAAAGTCAAGCAAGGATTAAGTCAAGCTTGAGGTGAACAACTGCGGGAAATAAATTAGTTCTCCAAAAATCACTTAAAAACATCATGCTTATCCACTAAGTTTAAGCACTTTATAAAACCAGCCATGCTGCAAATAATGATTTAGTATGGAGTACTTCTTAAGGTAAGCTCTTTAATTAAGAGAACACACAATATCTGCTTTCCTCTAGTCTACCTTAAAAAAGCATATGCCTGTGTAAAAGGAGATAGAAGACATAAGGACAGTTGACAAGTCACCTGCTTCATCTACAGAATAGTGTCAAGCTTTCATCAGACAGCTTTCCCTAAAGCATGTTTCACTTTTTATATAGAAGTACTATTCAAAACAGTGAAGATACTCATGTAGGACAACTGAATGGAAAAAAAGCCTTTATATGGCAACCGGAATCTCAGAGAGCCCAAGCAGAGTATAATTCTGAGTACAGTTTCTTCATCCATATATATCATCTGTACAGGTGTTCTCCTTGGAATGGCAAGAAGCATTAAATGGAAATCCCAACAAATAAAACAGGCAATAGTCACTGCTTTGTAACAGTAGCTAGCATTACATTATACCAACTTACAAAGTTATGATCAAAATAATACCAAAACAAACTCTCAAATTAGTAGTGAAGAATGTAAAGTTTTCTCAACCAGACTGTAAAGAACAATTGTTTTCCACACATTCCCCCCCCCATCTCATTCTAAGGATGGTCTGTAGTTGAACACATCCTCAATATGATTCAGACTGCAAGCCTCTTCACCTTATTTACATTAAGGTATTTCTAAGAAAGCAAATTCCAAAATTAGAATTTTTTTAAGCTCCTCACAAGCAAAGGGGACATGACTTTTTTTTTATTTCCTTTTTAGATCTACAACTACACAACCTGAATCACCAAAACTATTATGGATCTCTGCTACAAGAGCAACTTACTTCAAAGTTAGAGGAAATAGTCTTCATCACAACGGCACAAGAAAATAACAATGGCAGCTTATCTGATAAAAGCAGCAAACAAACATTTCTGAGTTTATCTAGCCTTCAGTTAGGAGTCCAGATGACTTGACTGCTGTAAATAAGTTCTAGTTGTGATAAATCTACTTAAAAATGAAAATAGTCTCTCTACTTCTTCATGAAGATGCACATCTTCCAAACTTGCTTTTCCTTACTCCAGAGAACAGTCAAACTCTTGCAAATGAAGACAGCCGAATCTAGTATTCTTCCCTGACATACAACACTCAGTTTCCACACCTGCTGAAATTAAACTAACAGCTTAGTCACAGGAGCACTCCACAGGCACCTGACACATGTTCCTGTATCAACCAAATTATATCAACACCAGACTCTACTTGCTAGATACTAAGTTTCTCTGGATTCTCTACCAAAAAGAGCTACCCTGCCTCGCAAAAACGCATTACAAAGTAGCTTTGCTACAAAAAGTTCACATTCTTGCTCACTCTGTACTAGTTTGTTAATCTAAAAACATCTTCTGGTCTAGAATCCAAACTTAAGTGTAGTGTTCTAAATGCTGTAAATCTCTTAACAAAAACAAAAAAGCTGTTGAGGGGAGATGAATTTATCCAGTGATGAAGTAAACATCACTGGTGTTTTACTCCATAAACTTAAAGCACTTTTTTTTTCTGTGCTGCTGTCCTGTAATAATATCAGGAAGCAGCCTTTACTGCTCAGTAATTTATCTTTAATGGTGAAAGCCATCTGTCCTTCCAGTTTAGCACATAGTTTTGCAAGGTGAAAAAGGTCAAAGGAAGCTGAAGCCAAACTGTTGCTTAGGGGCTTTCACTCTGTCTTGAGAACATCAAAAGCCTTGTGAAATTCAAGTGCTTCAGCAGTTGCTATGTGAGGGGCGCTACCCAGCAATGAGAAACTGAAGCAATTCCAAACTAAGAACAAAAAAACCCTCCAAAACAGCAAACTACCATCAACAAGAAAATACTGTTTCCAAGCCATAAAAGCTCACAAATATTGTCCTCAGGGTTAAAAAAAAAAAAAAAAAAAAAAAAGAAAAAAAACAGATCTAGTTAAGACCATGTATCTACAGAAGATCTATTCAAAACCTCCTGTTGAGAGTCTAAAGTAGAGCTTTCGAAAAATTGCTGTGACTGTTACTCTGCCCCTGCTTCACAGAGCACTTGAGGACTCAGAAAGAATTATGATTATATGAACTTTACTTACTCTTTCTTCCCTTTGGGCTGGTTCTTATGTTAAAGATACATGTTTATAAATTTCTGGTTCCTCATTGGATCCTTGTAAAATGGGGAACTGAAGGAGGGAGAACATCCAGAAAAATGGAAAACACAGGAGGTGGCAATGTTGCATACTTCAAAGATAATTTCATTTTGCAGTATGGCTACCTTCCCCCCTGGGTACTGTTCATCCTATTTATCTGGTTGGTGGAAAACCCAAGATAACAACAGGAAGATTCTGGTGTTCTACCTGTTCAAAAAAGTTCTACTGCTAAAAGGTAGTTATCAAAGAACAGCTGAACTACCACTCTGTAATCAAGCTTCATCAGCCTCTTAAAGAGCACTCCCTAGCCTAATGATTATTTAGAGGCAAAGTCTTGAAAGTTACACAAAGCATTCATAATAACCAAATTATTGTAAATATTATCTCAAATAGAGAGACATAACTGTCACTTCTTTATCAGACAATGAAACAGCTCCAGAAACATTTCTCTCTGCGGAGACACTTAAAGGAAATCTGAAGGACAAAGGTGGCTCAAGATGACTCACAGTTTAAATAAAGTGACATATGGTCTTCCAAGTGATCTTTTGCAGAAGATTTTAGCTCTTACACAGTTTGGTTCCCAGCTCCTTGCTATTCTAACTTTCAAGTCTGAGATATAAGCTATACCCAACAATAAAATTACCATCAGAGTAACAAAAAACCATTGTATCACAGACAAACAAGTTCTGGGGAAGTAATGAGGCAACAAATAGTTCCAGAAGTGGTACATGCACAGCACAAGCCTCTCACCCCTAAAATTCTATTACTCTCCATACACCGTATGATCTCAGCTGTCTCGAGCACAAGAGAAAGCAAGCACTTTTTAGAATACACTGCTGCAGACTGAAATAATGATTCCTATCCTTTGTTTCCATACCACTGTTTCAACTAGAGAGAGACTACAAAGATCACGTGGTACTATAAATTAAATAACCTGTATGAATTTCATTAACACATAGCTCAAATAATTTATCATCTTTTTACGCTGCTTACTAAGCAGCAAGAAGAACAGAGTTAGCATGACATCTCTTTAAAATCCCTGTAGTGTTAGGAAACTGATTACTCCAATTAAATTGAATCTAACAGAGAATAAAAAGCTAACAAAGAACAAAATAATGTGTTTTTCAAATGTCACATCTTCCTAAAGCATATCATTAAGTTTTCTTTATATATTTAAGCTGGTAAAAGCTTTCACACCTGCTGTATAGAGCTGCCAGTTTCACCAAGTTACTGAATACGCAGTGAATAGTTTGTTAAAATATTAAATTTGGTTAAAGGTAGAAGTACTAAACAATCAACATTCAAGCCAGGAGTTACAAGTCGCGCAAGCTCCTCAGGCCATTCAGCCACAAAACAAGCCAAAAGGCTCTTGCTGGTGCCAAATCAGGCACAGATAGTGCCACTTTCCAAGGAACATAATTAAGACGTGATAGCAAGTAAGATCTTATGAATTACATGCCAAATGGTTCTTCCAAGACTGCTTCCCGAGTCTGCTATTGACAAGCATTCCTATTCTGATGTTCAATTAACTGGAGTAAATCCCAAAAGAGGATCAACAGCAGACTTGTATACAAGGCCTCCACGTAAAAAGTTCTAAATGAAACAGTGTGACAAGAGGAATCAATCCAACATCCCATTCAGTTATTCTTTTAGATTTAAAGATATTTTAGGTGCCCTTGATGAAAAGTTTAGAGCTTTAAGCTCTAAAGTTAACCACTTGTTGAAGACCAAAATATGCAATTCTCAAAAACTGCTTAGGAAGAATGACTACAGCACAATTTGTCAGCACATAAGTGCACAACTGAACAATTCAAAAAGTCTGTAAATCTTGGAGTGATTAAAACTTTACTCCAAGACAAGGTGAAGAGCCATGTCCCCAGAAAAGGTTATAAAACAGAACAGCTCCTTAAAGATTGTTACACCATTGAACAAGGCTCCACAAGGTCTACGAGCAATTAAATTTTTCTTTTATATATTTATACACATCCACAAGTACAAAATGCAGACACATGGGAAAGCAATTCAGAGAAAAGGTAACACATTCAGAAAGAGAAAAGACCCTAACGTCTAGCTCCTGCACACAGAATAAGCTTACATTGTAAAAATCTAGGTATAAGAACCTTCTCAGGAGCTGCTTTTTTTCACCCAGAAGAATCAACAAATCAATAAATAAGTCTAAGCCATTCTTTCCCCCTACATTTAAGCCAAACTCAGTAAAATTGCTGGAGAACAGCTGCAAAGCCTCCTAATATTCTCTAATTATTCACCACGCTGTAATGGCTAACAAATGCACAAACGCAGAGCACAGTATAGCTGCTTAGAATAGCGTCGTGGTTTCAGCCCAGCCGGTAACTCAGAACCACGCAGCCGCTTGCTCACTCCCCCCACTTCTTCCTCCTCCTGCTCCCGGAGGGATGGGGAGGAGAATCAAAAGAATGTAACTCCCACAGGTTGAGGTAAGAGCAGTTCAGTAACTAAGGTATAACACAAACCATTACTGCTACCAATAATAATGATAAAGGAAATAACAAGGCAAAAGGACACAATCACACATCACCCGCTGACCGATACCCAGCCTGACCTGAGCAGCCATCTGGGCCATCCGGGTGACTCCCCCCACTTCCTACACTGGGCATGACGTGCTGTGGTATGGAATACCCCTTTGGCCAGTTTGGGTCAGGTGTCCTGTCTCTGCTTCCTCACGGCTTCTTGTGCCCCTTGTCACTGGCAGAGCATAAGACTGAGAAGTCCTTGATCAGGGTAAGCATTAGTTAGCAACAACTAAAAGCATCAGTGTGTTATCAGTGCTGTTCTCAGACTGAAGCCAAAACACAGCACTGCACCAGCTACTAAGGAGAAATATAACTGTTACAGCTGAACCCAGGACAAACAGCTGCACTTCTTTCAAAAGAAGTAGTTCACTGAAATGTAAATCCTGTAAAAAATTACAAGTCCATTTTACATGTAAAATGCAAACCTTTCACTACAACAATAGAGGTACAGCTGTGACCTGAATGGCAAGAACATATGATCACAGCTAGAAAGATTAATAATTTTTAAACACAGCTTAACTGTCAGGAATAGAGGCAGTAACAGTGGAGGGAAAGGAAGAAGGCTTTTTTATAAACCCTTGCTATAGAAATGGCTAATATGGTACAGTATACTTGGAAGTGCAGAGACATCTTCAAATAGAACAACCTCACCACCCCCTGCATCCCCAAATTCAAAGGTATGCGTTCTCTGTCTTACATGCTTCCCCTCCTAAGTATACACTTAAGCACAGAAGAAAAAAATCGTCACCAGAATGGGGGAAATTCAATGCATGTGCTTACATGAACAGCTATAGCAAAAGCTATGGTTAAGAGGTACTAAAAGTGACTAAAACTCAGACTGATTTATGTTTTATTACCGGCATGATTTTCATGCAGAATACTTCCCAAACATACATAATTTCCTATCCCTTTCGGTGTTTTCACTGACCCACAAGCTTAGTAACAGAACCTTACAATGAGCTTCTGATCAAGACCACTGAAATTGGTACACAACACAAGCCTATTTCATGCTAAACACATTATGCAAACAAATTAAGCCAGATCTTCACTTAAAGGATACGAGAAGCGATCATTCCACGTTGCTCTTTCAACATAGTCCAACATAACAACAGCTTTAATTGTTGTTAGAAGTTTGTTCCATGTTTCATCGAAGTCAACTACTCGTGGTTTCAAGGACATTGTGGGGCTTTAGTGTTAACCTGTAGAAGAATTAAACATGTCAGACAACACTGCACAAGAATTTTAAGAAGAAAAAAACCCCATTTCCGTTGAAATTTTCAACTTAAACTCTGCACACTGTTGCACCACCATGATACAGCAACACAAAGAACACCCAACTCTCTTTCCACGCCCTCCAAAATCAAGCTCACAAGCCCTTAGTTTAAACATTATGGAATGGAACATTAATGTTGCATGAATAGCTTATAACACCGACTAATCTAACAACATCATGCCCCATAAAGTTCACTACCTTACTAAGCTGCCCATTTAAGAGTGTCACGTGACGAAAACAACTTTCCTGTAGATTTTAGCTTGTTAACTTTTATACAAAGATACTTTCAGTTGTATCCAAGAGAACTTTGGGCAGGAACACACTGAGCATATTACCAGAGCATGTGAATTTACTATTGTCAGTTTGTAGCTTACGTTCACCTCAAGCTTTCATGAGACATTTTTGGTGTTATATTTAAAAAGCCACAAAACCCAAAAGCTTTGATCAGGATGAAAGAAAGAAAACACATCTAAACACAGAGCATTATGCTAAGCTTGTGCAGCTTAGTGCACTATGCAGCAGGACAAATGGTGAACTCTTTTGAAGAAGACCTGGCTTGAAGATTCAGAAGCTGTGTTATTAATTTCATATAATAGATACTGCAAGAGATTTACTGAAGGAAAAAGATCAAATTACTCAAATAAAACTAGGGGAAAAGGTACTTTAAAAACAGATGTTCCAAAAGGCATAACTGTGGAGGCCTCTTCTTTGTTTCTATTTCTCTGTGCTATACACCTAATCTAGAAAGGACATGGTGTAACATTCCATGCACAATGCAAGTCTAGTTCCTGCTCAGAAACATGACATTGTAAATGTAAGATAAAAAATGGAAAGAATACTTATGTTTCCATTTTAAATAGATGGCAAAGTGACTTTTAACTTGTGTTCCCAAGTTTTCAAGGTCAGAAGGCAAAAAACAGACAGCTAGTGACAGACTTGATGCACAAGCGGCACACCTCTGCAAGGGAAAGGATCAAATGTCATGCTAAAAAGCTATTCAGCAACCAGCTCACTACATTGACCAGTACTGGCTTTTAATTTTCTCAGGCAGATTAGTTCTCTCAAGCTGCAGGATATTTAGCTTCTCAAAGAACCCCCCCCCCCAAAAAAAAAATCAGGTGCAACTTTTACGCTGTAGCATACAAAATGCCACCCTGACTAACTAAGCAATCTCCTTAACTGCTGTGAATTCAGAGGATTGTTTTCTTCTACCTGCAACACAACAGTTCCCATTTAAAATGTAATTGATGTACCACCCAAGCCACATTTGCTTTGATTTCATGCAGAAACTGAGTAGCAACTAACTAATACCAAAGGAAGTGGTATGATCCCAGGTTTTATGAACAGGAAACTTCTTAAAGAAGAGCTAAAGCTCAGAAAGTGGTGCATAAACATTTACGGCTCAGTGGAAACATCTGTTATATTTGCAACATGGTTATTACCACTTTTGGAAATAAATCTTCAATCCATGTATGTCAGTAGCAGCTTACTACACAGAAAACCAGTGAGAACTGACACATCCAATAGATACCCATCAAAGAAAATAAGTTGAAAAATACAAACTGATATATGTTTCAAAGAAACATGAACCTCGGTAGAAGTAAACAACAGTAGAGCTCACTTCCAGTAAGGGAAAAAGAAAAGCAAGCAATAGTCTTCTAAAAGCTCTAATATTCTTCTTCTTTTGGAAAACACAGGAGTATTTTCAGCTGACCCCAAGAAAAAAAAAAAATCATGGTCCACAAAAATTATAAGAATCCTAGTAAATTCCTGTGGTAACGAAGTTATACTACTTTGAGTGTTATATTATAGGCTGTTCTCTCCAAAACACACTTGGTACCTCCAAGGTAAAGGAACCATTCCACCAGTGATAAGCATATCTGAGGGAAGGAAGGAATGGCGAAGAAAAAGTCCTCCCCACCATACATCACACAGAATCAGTAATAACGTGTTTTGTATCATCAAAACCTATTAATATGTAAATCATTACGCATCCATATACTCATAAAAGTATTTTGGAGCTAAATAGTTTAAGGCAGAGCAGGCTGTTTGGCATTTTCTTACAGCTCTCACACCAATATGAATCTAAATGTGTTTTACAGACATGTTACCAAACACGGCGTAACTTTTTCTGCAAGACAGTGGGGTTTTGGGGTTGCTGTGCTTCAACATGTGTCGTGCACAAGCTCACCAGCTTACAGCATTAAATATCTTCTACTGATGCAAACAACCTCCGTGATAGAAATTACAGCAGAGCAGAACATCTACCCCTATTTAGGGTTCATACTATTCAGGGAGTGGAAAACTGTACCTGTCTGACAAGCCCTACAGTAACCGTACATTGTTGAAACATATTTACAAAAGAATAACGAAAACATGTTGCTTCTATCACCTCATTCTTTAAAACACACCGTTGTCACACTGAACACAGTTGTTCACACAAACAAATGCAGAGTTTTGGCCAGCATCAAAGCACACCCCGATTTTCCAGCTTATTTAGACATCTCGAGAAATATTACAAACCAGTAGCAGGTGAACAGCCCAGGGCACGAGT